TGACCAAATAATTGATTAATCAACTCCCTCAAAGTATTCGAAATTTACGGAAATATGCGACTTACCTACAGTGGCAGATCTGAAGTTCTAGCCGCTCTGGCCCTAGGTCATGTGCCGCCCCTTTCTCAGCACCCATCATTATCGACTACATACATAATTCATGAATTTACTTTATTCCCACCTTTAATTGATTCAGAAAATTGTTTAATTAAGAGCTACCTTATAAAGCTACTTTATAATTTTTTCCGAGGTTTCAGGGATGATTGGTCATTTAAATAAAATATTTAAGACGGTTTTAAGTTTTGTTTTTAATAAAATAAATGTTTCACAATGTGTTACAGAACTCGTCTGTACTTAAGCGCACCAAAATCATTAATTAATTCTTCGCAATGCAATTTGCTTAAAAAATCAGCTTCTGTGGTAAGCAAAGCAAGATTGTTTAACCTCTGCTCCGTCAATGTTGTGCGTAAATAGTTTTTAACTTTGCGCTTATTTATACTTTGATACACAAAAATAGTGATTTAGGAAAATTATAATCATACGGTACGCGAGCCTTTAAAATATTAAGATACTTTGCATTTGAGTTATTTCTTGTTAATCTTGTTATCATCAGTGATTTTTTTTGGCCTTAATATCTGGCCGCCCTAGGCCCGGGCCTACTGGACCTTAGGGCAAATCCGCTAATGCTATCTACCATATATCCTTTACATAGGTATGCTTCATTTAATACTAGCGACCCGCCCCAGCTTCGCACGGGTGCAATGCTGATACTAAATATGTATATTTTTGTCTTTATATACAACATTCACAGTTTTTTTTGTCATTAGACAATACAAACCGGCCTCCCGGCCGGTACCGCCGCAACCGCTATGTCCTTACATTGTAAATCTGTAATATCTTCGAAAATATTCATGTAATTAGATGCTGTAAAGGGCCATGTTGATCTATATCAAATGAACAATGTATTTAAGGTACTTAATTGGATAAAAATTAATGCTGTATTGCTTACAATCGCTTCGTAAATAAGTCATTATTTCTCATAAAAAGTAAAGGATAAAAATGGTTATTGTGGGTTATCCCTAAGAGATAGAC